AACTTAAAATAAGACAAAGTTTAATAAATTCTTTTTAATTATTAAATTATAAAATTAATTTGCGATAATAATGTTTACAATTTGTACTAATATCGGATGTGGTTGAGAATTATTAATATATATTCGTCTATAAAATTTAATCCATGAATTTTTTTGGTAGTAAAATCGACTTGCCATTGTCTTTCGCTGATAATTGATGCTTTTTAACATAATCTATAGCCCAAGATTTCTCTTGAAAAATTAATTTTGTGTTCTGAAATACTTCCATTAAAAAAGTATTCATATGAAAAATTAATTCTGTGATCAGTGCTACCCAAACCACTACTAATACTATTTACACCATAGACTTCTATGCATACTTTTTTCCCGCGAGTTTAAATAGAATTTGTTGCCAATAAACATCAGTGGCGTAATAATAAACACAATGGCATAGCAAACATAACTGGCACCCGGGCCACAACACTATATTGGCGCCCCTCCCCCTCCAGAAGCAAATTTTGTTTTTCTTGGAAACCATTTGGCTCCCCTCTGCAAGTGGCGCCCGGGGCAAGCTGCCCCACCCTCTGCTGAGAGGTTTTCTTCGTTTGTGGGCGATAGGAAATTCTGAAGTTCCTCAAGGTCAGGCAGCCTCAAAGGATTAACTTAACGTGTATAGCTGCCTTTAGTAACCTGAGAGGGGTTGATGTCTCTCAAGGTCAGTAAAAGTGATGCGAGCTGCCACCCACTCCCACCGCTAATGACAACAACGTGCTAAGTATATCATTACTATGTAAACAAAAACTACGCTTTATTGCAGGGCGTGGCCGGCAAGAATGTCCAATCAAGTAGGGGAAATACGTACAAAATGACATACGGTTTTGTTTTAGGTTCATAACTCTTTATTGGTAAATCACAGCACTGTCATATTCCACATTAAGGTAAGTTCCTTAACTGAGCTCTTATGGACTAAATGACAGGTATGTCATTATGTCCGTTGCCTATGTATGTCATTTTGTCCATATAACGTTATAAAAAAACAAAATTATAAAATAAATACAAAGATGTCATTTTTAATGGAAAAAGTTATTTAAATGCAACAACAAATTCTTGAGGGTTGAAATAAATGCTACACAATAGTGAATAGATAAAATAGTGAAAAACTTACCATTTATACAAAAAAACTTGTTGCGAGGAAAAAAACTCATAACGTATCATTTCTTGTCGTCAGCCATGACACCCAGGCAAATGAGAGGAGTGCATTCACATTTTGACAGGTTAGTAAAAGCCGCTCAGATAACGTGGTGTCATGGTCAGTTGTGCGCTTGAGACCGCCAAATTCGAATTATAGTGCCTATGTCATTTTGTACGTATTTCCCCTAAGTAAAACACAGTGTGGCTAACATTTTTTAACAAATTACTTGCATCCTTTATTTCTAGAGAATTTACAATAAAAGAGAGAAAATTAAAATAAATATGAAATTTTAGAGGGCCAACTATCGAAATAAATCCAATTTAAACCTCCCGCCATCATCTGATTGGTTAAAAAAAATTAATATTCCTAATTGGCTCATGTCAGAAAAAGTAAGTGTGACTTCTGTAAATTGCGCTATCGCGAAAGCTCCGATACAGTCCAGAAACGGTTCTTGTATGATCTACTTTTTCTGAAATCAACATTACAGTAAAACGTAGTAATTTATAGTAAAACGGTCTTCTCTAATATTCGTAGTAGTTATTAAATTGAAATTCAAACTTTACAAAGTATTATTTAATTCGGAAACATTAAAAATACATCATTAAGTAGAATAACATATAACTATTTTTTGCTATAATACAATTTACAAAATCTAAAGTTCGTACATCGTAATATTACGAAATAACTAGNAGGTAATTAAATGATCCCTTGTATTGTCGTACAAGGGGCAGTCCATGAGGATATGAAGGACATCCCCATGACTGGCTCCATCGCAGGTGCAGTAGGCGTTGTCCCTTTTCCCAATCATTTTAGATAGCTGGGAATGTTCCCGTGACCAGTCAAGCACTGAGTCAAGATGTAGGAAGGTTGAAGGTAGCCATAGGTCTGCCTCTTGCTGATCGAGGGGAGAAAGCCGTATGTCGTTCTTCCTGTTGTAGAGATGTCCCATTCCTTTTGCCAAATATCGAGGCATATGTTGCGTATGTGGTTGGGATGCGGCTGAAAGCAATGTGCATTTCCGAGCAGGTGGCCAATTTGGCCAGCACATCCACCCTATCATTGCCGGTAATGTTACTATGTCCTGGTATCCAGCATATTTTGATGCTTCTGTGTTTACTCATGATGTTGATCAGGTAGTTGCACTTATGGCCGATTGTTGGCTTCTTTGTTCTGTTGCCTATTGTGTGTAGCACGTAGCGGCTATCCGTGTATATATTTATATTACCTTTATACTTCTGAATCTTCATTGTAATGTGTACAAGTGTCCTGTACATTGCCCACAGTTCAGCTTGGTTATTTGAACAATGGTTGTGCAGTTTGAAGTATTCCTCGTGCTCAGATTTCTCTATAGTCCCTTTATATATTGCAAATGCGGCCCCCGTACCTTTTTCATTCTTTGCTCCGTCAGTGTATATCTTCCATGTACTGTCGTCACCATCAGGGATGTGGTTTATGTTTAATTTATTGTTACTATTTATTGCTGGATGGCAGGAATTTTCCAAGTCTGCATTATAGTTGTCTATGCTGTGGTTTTTAATCTCGTTTATTATTTCTAAGCTTTCAATTGGGTAGTTGACTTTATTGATTAATTGTTGGATGTCTTCGTTGCTGGTGTTGTCCAGCTTGATGTTGAATAGGTTCCAGGTCCAATATAATCCCCTAATTTTAATATGTATTGGCATGAGGTTAGCTAGGACCAATAGGGCGTCAGTTGGGGCCGTTCTGTATGCTCTACATAACCTTATTGCGGAGCCCCTCTGCACGGAGAGCAGTTTTCTTTTGTTATTCACTGTTTGCCCTTTTACCCCAGATCTGGGCTGCATAGAGCAGCGCCGGTTCAATGGCACCCTTATAAATCAAGGAGGAGTGTTTGGCACTAATACCCCAAGTATTCCTGGAGATCTGGTACAGCATGTTTGTTTTCTTCTTAGCTTTCTGGCATATCGTCTCAATATGGCTTCCCCAATTTAGGGCTGGGTCCATAATGACCCCCAAGTACTTAAGATTCTGGGTAATCTTAATCTTGTGACCCTCTAGATAAATCCCCTCGATGTGGGTTCCTGTCCATGGTGAGGGGACCTCTCAGAGATGGTTTAGTAATTTTTATTTACCATCCCTGGGATCTGAACGCCCACCCACGTGTTTGCCGTGCGTGGTATCCCGTATGCCGGAAAGGGGGATCCTGGTAGTTGAGGGGCAACATAATGTCCCCAACACACTGCTTTGGCCCCTGCTTCGGATAAATGGGAGGCTCAAATCAGGCTCCGTTTGAGTCAATGGGCTGGTCGTTGAGTCATTCTTGACCTTGGCTTGGAGTCAACTGATCAATGCAGACCGGGCAGAAATGTCATACAAGATGTGCTCTTCTTGATTGCTTTGTGAGGGTATAGCTCCTGGGAAACCCTGGTGTGACGGTCTATGGGATTCTCCCATGTGACGGCATCCCCTTGTTGGGCCCCGTGGTGGGTGGGGTCACTAGGAGCCGAATATTTTTTTCTAAATATGGATTCTCTCAAATCTAAAACATCTAGTATACCACCAAAAGATGTCAGTTCTGCAAATCAACCAGCTTACTTTATTGTTCACACTACAGGAGAAACACCTCTGTCTAAACGTTCTCCCTTTTTAATTCAGAAACTTTTTGAATCAACTATTGGGCATGTTAAAAAAATCCAAAAATTGAGGTTGGGAGATCTGCCCTCGTAGAAACAGCCTCCCCTCAACAGTCAGGAAAACTTTTGAACATGAAGTCTTTAGGAGACATACAAGTCACTATCATGCCACACACAAGTTTGAACTCGTCACATCGTGTGATATCTGAAATTGATCTGATGTCTGTGGACGAATCAGATATTCAGATCGACTTTTCAGATCAAGGAGTCACTGCTGTATGACACATCTCAATTCGTCGAGATGGCAAGATAATTCCTACAAAACATCTAATCGTCACATTTAATAAACCAACATTACCATCTTTTCTTACCGCAGGATATTTGCGCTGCTCAGTTCGCCCATATATTCCAAATCCGCTGCGTTGTTTCAAATGCCAGCGATTTGGACATTCCCAAACATCCTGTCGAGGCAAAAGTCTATGCGCACAGTGTGGAGTTGAAGGTCACCAGAGTACTGAGTGTACCAGCACTGCATGCTGTGTAAACTGCAAAGATGCCCATCCTGCCTACTCCCGAAAATGCACTACATGGCAGAAAGAGAAAGAAATATAGCGATTGAAGAGTGTTAATAACATATCTTACCCGGAGGCACGTCACATGGTCACTTTAAGTGCACCAGTGAAACAGAAGACATTTTCTCCTGTTCTGAAATCCACAAAGACATGTTGAGTTCAGACAGACATTTCTGTTTCACCAAATAAATCTCTCACACGCCATGCTAAATGCTTACTAATTCAATCCAAAGAGACAGAAGAAAAGCAGAACATAAAGATAAAATCACCCCTACCCAAAACAGGAGTAATTACTAGAAATGTGGGTTCTAAACAGGCCAATAAGAACCCACTCAACAAACAAAAATTGAAAGCAGCCCTCTCTAAATCAGAGAGATCAGAGACTCAATCCATGAATGAGTTCTCTGATATCTCTGACGAAGAGAATAATATGGAGGTGACACATTCAACCTCACCTTCCAAAGGAAAATCTGCAGTAAAATTGAAGAGGGACACCTTCACAAAGAATGCTGCCTCAAACACATAATGGATTATAAAATAATCCAATGGAACTGTCGTGATTTCTGCAACAACTTCTCTGACATTAAACACTTGACATCATATACCCAATCTCTCTGTGTGGCACTCCAGGAAACCCATCTAAAACCTGGAGAAAATATTTCTTTAAAAGGATTCAATCTATACCGCAAGGATGATGATAGCCACAACCGTGCCAGTGGAGGTGTGGCTATTGTTGTTTCAAATCACATCCCATCCTTGCCAGTACAAATAACAACTGATTTGCAAGCTGTGGCAGTCAGAATTTCTATTGGAGTAACTGTCACAGTTTGTTCTATATACTTGCCACCAGATGTCAGAGTCAATGAGGATGAATTAAATGCATTAGTTGAACAGCTGCCTACTCTATTCCTTTTACTGGGTGATTTTAATGGCCATAATCCAATGTGGGGCAGTCCGGACATCAACCGCCGAGGTATAGTCATCGAAAGATTTATGGGCAATCACCAACTATATTTATTTAATACTGGAGAAGTGACATACTTCCATGCCCCAACAAGAACATTCACTGCCATTGATCTATCATTAGCAAGTCCAAACCTGTTTTCAGCATTTTCATGGGAGGTTGGATGTAATCTACTCTCTAGTAACCACTTCCCAATATTTCTAAATTATCGAGGCAGAGAAAGCTGTGAAACAGCTCGTCCACCATGCTGGAAACTTGAAACGGCAGATTGGCCTGCATTTTCCTCTTTAGCTAGCATCACTGAGGAAATGGTCAATACTGCTGATATCAATGATGCAGTTGAAGTTGTCACTTTGTGCATTATTCAGGCAGCTGAGAAAACAATGGGAAAGACATCAACAAGATATCCAAAGCATCTGAAACCATGGTGGAACCAGAATTGCGAGGCAGCATTTAAAGCACAAAAGAAAGCTTGGGGGATTTTCAGAAGGTACCCCACTGCTGAAAATTTGGTTGCTTTTAAAAAAGCAAAGGCAAATGCCAGAAGAATAAGAAGGCAAAGCCAAAGGGATTCTTGGAGGAAGTATGTTTCTAGCATAACATCTTCCACTAGCTCAAAAGCAGTCTGGGATAAAATC